GCCCATGGGCACAGCATCACAAGCCCAATCAGCACCCGCGCCAGGGGAGAGGCCACAACTCAGCCAAATTTCCAGTGTCACTAGCGGTGTGCTCTCTAACCTGACAAGGCAAAGAGAGCTGGTCCATGGGCAGGAGCCATGCTGCCATACACCCCTGACTTTGTCATGGAGGGGGACAGTGCAGCAGGGACTGCACCCACAAGGCTGCAGCCTCAGATATTACAGAAGAAGGGAAGTGGAAGGGGAAGGCAGGTTACGGGACACCCGATTCCACACAGCAAAACTTGGGGAAGTCAGAAAAACGCTTACGTGATCCCTGAGCCCATGATATCGAACTCGATGAGCCGGACATCCTGGAAATGGGATTCTGCTGTGACCCTCTGATTGGAGAGCACCCGGGCAGCAAAGGGGTGCAGCTCAGAGGGAACAGCCCTGGGTGCTGTCGGCTGGAGCAGGCTGCCATTGGGTTGTGAGGAGTCCTCAGCCAGGTAGTGCAGGGTATATTTTGGGGGCAGGCTGTAGGGAGCAGAGCAATGCAGTGCGGTTACCTCCATGCCACAGCTCCTCTGCTGCTGTAGTGCTAGAAGCTGGAGGCAGGGAGAAGCCTGAAGTCTCCCACCACATCCACCACCCATTATCCCAATCCCCTGGCGCTGGCCTGTGGTAAGGAAATGCAGTGCAGACTGCCAGGAGGAGATCTCAAAGGCTCCCGAGGAGGCAGAGTCTGAGTGGACACACACGCTTGGCAGGTCTGCCAAGGGCAGAGGCACATCAGGACAGCAAGATGGGCAGAACCTTGCTGGGGCAGCTGACACACACCCCCAGGGAACAAAGGGGACACCGCAGCCAGAGGGAAATGGACCTCCCATGGCCAAAGTCCAAGGGATACAGAAGCTGTCTGGGGAGTCTTCTCGGTCAACCCAGAGCAAATCTCCACCCCTGAGGACAGCCAAGGAAGCGTGGCATTTCACACCAGCCAGTTCCAGCAGTCCATGCCTACCCTCTGCACTCACCATACATCTGGACTGATGATCTCAAGGCCAGGAGGGAGAGGATACAATGTGAGGATCTTGTCCCATAAAGCCAGGAGCCATGGATCGACCACTGCATCTGGCCTGTAAGCAGGAAATTCGGGCTGCAGTGGCACAGCATCACCCCTTCAGGCTCAGGCGCTGCTACCTCTGCACCCGGACAATGCTGGGCCTCCCCTGGGCAACCACCTCTGCTCCTTTTTCACTGCACAGTCGCTCCATGCTATCCTCTCCCAGTGTCACATCTGGAAACACGTCTCAGCCACTCTGAGCACTCACTCGCTTACTGGGGCCCAACCACTGACATCTGAACAGAACTACCAACCCCCCCCGAGCACAACTGGTGTCAGCCACCGACTCCACGAGCCACACGCAGCCTCTGCCCCGTGCGAGGAGAACAGCAGCACAGCTCAGGCTGCTGTAATGCCTGCAAGTACGCAGCTGTGTGACACAGCCACCCGCTGGTCTGAACAGAACTGGGGCAGAGCCAGGAGACGTTGGCACATGCTGGGGGTTGTGGGACACCCTGGAGAAGCAAGTGACTCAGGTCCCGGCACAGGAGAGTTATGAGCCGAGAGCAGCATGTTCACAGAGAGCAGCAGGAGGCTGCTGGCCACATCTCGGGCACAGGAGCAGACCTGTGGTGGGAACAGCACACTGCTGTCCCCAAGGCTGGGCTAAAACACACACAGCCCTGCTGTCAGCCCGAGGACAAAATTGTAGAGCATCCCAGGGCTCCCACCCTGCCACCCCTCCACTGGGCTCTTACCCCAAGTCATGCTGGTCATCTCCCAATGCCGCTGGCAGCAGAGGATTGCCCCCAAGCTGTAGCACCCGTTTGTGCAGCTTCTTCGCAACAAAATTAAACCTGAGCAGGGAATAACCACAGCTGCAGAGGGCAGAGTTACTCCAGCAGGACAGCAGGCACTGGCTACATGAGCCAGCACACGTTGCCAGGGCTATGTCAGAGCAGTACAGAGGCAGGTCCAGCCAGAGCCAGCACACACGACCTGGCCCCATGCCCTGCCTCCACCCTGAGGCAGCTCGAAGCAGCTGGCTGACAGTTGCTGGGCCACAGAGGCTGTGCCCAGCTCCCAGAAGGGACCTGGGGAGGTCCAGCTCATGGCCTGGGCAGAGAAACCCTTCCTTTTAGCCCCTCATTACCCCATGGAGCTCAGGCATGCTCCCATCCCTCCCACTACAGCTCTTTCAGGCACACGGGAACAATCTTTTGGGAGAGAACTAGGACCAACAGGGCTGGCTGCCACCTAAAACTATGTTTCATGTCTCCTGTTGGTTTGGTCCATTGAAATTGCTGTGGCACAGGCTTTCCTGCAATACAGACAGAGAACTGCATGTCTGTAATAACTGACTGGGAAACTATGTCCCAGACACTGTGGCAAAGCATCTGCTTCAGGAGGCTAGGAGGAAAGAAATGGGCAGAAGCCTAATCCCTGAGGGTTAGGAGGGACATGGGCTGGTAGGGCAAGGATTTTTAAGGCTGGTGGGAATTATGTTTCGTCTGAGCTGCTGCTCTAGGGCCAGACTCTGTCTCATCCCACCCCTTTTGTTCCCCAACCACTCTGCTCTCGCTGGCAGCCAGAGCTGGGAGGAGCAGCTGTCACAGGCAGGCAAGGAGCCGCAGAGCTGCTTACTTGGGATAGGAGGAGTCACCAAGGCCCAGCACGGCGTAGTCCAGCTGGCAGAGGGAACCAGGTGGCAGGTTCTTCCGGAACAGAAACCGCCAGAATATCTATGAAGGACATGGCCAGGGAGTCACACTGCTGCCAAGGAGGCCTTCCCCGCCTGCCTACCCCAGCTTCACCCACCCACAAGGTCTCTCCTGCCCTCTGCTGAGCCCCAACAGTGAGGGGCACAGCATTCTGCAGAGGTGACCCCACAGCTGCCACCTGTCAGGAGGACGATGCTCTGTGAGCCCTCCACAAACCCATGGCTCTTGCGATGGCAGGGCCCCTCTCAGCTGCTGAAATCTCACCAGCTCCCTGCCCATGTCCCATCAGTAACACCAGATGTGACTGGTGCTGCTCCAAAGCTCCCCCCTCCAAAATAACCATTGCTCAAGGTGCTTCAAGATAGAAATCCAGTCACTGGACCAGGAATATAAAAGCAACATGGATAGGAGCACATCCTACCTTCATGTTGTCAGGTGGGTCACCCTGGCCGGTGGTTGCACAGACAAACACCACCAACAGCTCATTGATGAGGTTGGCCTGTGGGCACAAACATGGAAAGGCACATTCAGGTCAGCAACCTAAAAAAAGCGTGTCCCAGCTGTCCCGACATGGCTGCTAACATCTTACGCCATTCACGACAGACCACACTTGGAATAAAACCTGCATCCCCACATGGCAAGACCTCCTCTACAAGCACTGCAGCAGCATCTGCTGCCTGCACATTGCTTGCAGCATTGGCTCTTTGGTGCTCCTCGCCTTGCAGGTGGCTGAGCGTCTGTCATCTAACACGGACTCTGTCCCAAGAGTCATTGCTCAGTTCTCACCCCTTTTCAGCTGAGTTAAGCACAAGCTTCCCTCAGGAAGGGCACAGAGAGGGGGTCTGGTGAAAAACAGCAGGTCACAGCAAGGGTGGAATGATGTCCAAACCCAGGAAATGGGGTTGTTGGAGATGGAGCAAGACCAGAAGTGCCTGGAGCAAACCTTTGTGTCACCACTCACCACATCATAGCTGTCCAGTGCCTCCACTCTGCACTGGAAGTGGCGTCGCTTGGCTTCTCTGCCAATTCTCTCGGCTGTGTCTTGAGCTGTCCCAGTTTGGCTGCCAAAAAGAACAAGGAGTTTCCGTTCCACCATCTGCAAGAGACGAAACCAGAGAAATCACCAGGAGGTGAGGGGAGATGAGGGGTGTCACACCAACACCCACCTAAGCTGTGAAGAAGTGCTGGCGGCTGTGGGTGCAGGTGACATTCACGAGGTTGATGCTGCAAACAGCAGCCACAGGGACGGCTGAATAATTCTGAGGCAGCACCGGGACTCAAGGCTCCTGAGCTCTCTTTCCACCATTGGGCATACCTGAGGGAGTGACGCCCTCTTTGCTGCAGCATCCCCATCCACAGGAGCAGCCTGTGCCCCGTGTCCCCACTGCCAGGACCAAGGGAAGGGGCTGGCTTGGATAGTGTAAAATCCAGGAACAGCAATCCACTTTTGAGCTCATTTTAACCGTCCTCATTGCTGCAGGCTCAGCACACCTGTGGGATCGGCTGTTCCCTGTCTCTAGTTTGAAGGTCTCCGTCTGCCCCGTGAATCCCCACCCGAGGAGGCTGGGGGAGAAGCCTGGGAGCTGGGGAACAGAGCGGGACCAGGCACACGCTGCCCTCAACCACGCTCTCTCAAGCAGCAAGGGCCCCGGGTGTTACCGGCGATCACAGCCCGCAAGGAATGCAACTCAGATGAGCTGCAAACCCTCGGTGGTGCAGCAGGCAGCGTGGGCCGCTGCCAGAAGAACTAAAAAAAAACGCGGAATAAATTAAAAAAAAAAAAAAATCATAAGGAGGGAGCATTACTGGCCTCGTCACAGATCAATCCCTGCAGAGGGGCTGCGGCGCCAGGGGATTTGCCCCCGTGCCCTGAGGAAAAAGGCTTTTTTCCCAGTGGGCGCACTCTGGACACGCACCAGGCCCGCCTGCGCAAGGCCTCGCCGCCCTCACGGCCCCGGGGGGAGAAAGCGGGGGGGGGGGGGGGGGGGGGCAGGACACCCCCAGCCCGGCTCTGGGGCCTCCCTGGGCGCAGCCGGGGGGGGCCGGGCACCGGCACTGTGACCGTGGCCCCGCCCCCTTCCCGCCCCGCCGCTTCCGCTGTCGTCATCAGTCGGCGCCGCCGCCCCCTCTGGCGCCGTCACCCCGCGCCGCGGAGGGAGCCCGGCAGCGGCGGCGGCGGCGGCGGGGCCGGGGGTCTCGTCCCCCCGCCCCGGCAGCGCCCATGTCCCCGCGGCCGGCGGGACGATGCTGTTCTCCCTGCGGGAGCTGGTGCAGTGGTTGGGCTTCGCCACCTTCGAGATCTTCCTGCACGGCCTGGCGCTGCTGGCCTTCTCCGTGCTCCTCGTCCTGAAGGTGGACGGCGAGGCCTCGGCGCTCTCCTGGTGGGTCGTCTTCGTCCCCTTCTTCGCCGCCGACGGCCTCAGCACCTACTTCACCACCATCGTCTCGGTGCGGCTCTTCCAGGACGGGGAGAAGCGCCTGGCCGTGCTGCGGCTCTTCTGGATCCTCACCATCCTCAGCCTCAAGTTTGTCTTCGAGATGCTGCTGTGCCAGAAGCTGGTGGAGCACACCCGGGAGCTCTGGTACGGGCTCATCATGTCGCCCGTCTTCATCCTCCTCCAGCTGCTCATGATCCGAGCCTGCCGGGTGAACTGATCGCTGCCGGGGCCGCGCCTGGCTCCCCGGGCAGCCCTGGACTCGCGGTGACGGCCACCGGGCTCTTCCCACTTTTCTTTCTGTACGGAGTGGTGGGTGGCAGGTCACACAGGATTGGCACTCTCGGAGTAGGGGTCTGTAATTAAGCGCGCTGCTGGGTTGTATAGCATCATGTTTCTTCGAAAGAGCCTTTTGTGCTGCATCTTCATTTCAGTTCACTCAGCTCTTGCTGTTAGTCTTAAAGTATCCTGCCGTGCAAGCACTGTTTGATATGCCAGTTATTTTATTTTAAAATAAAAACGCATGGGAGGATTAGTTTTATTTATAAAATTATTTTTCCCTAGAAAGCATTAAAACGAATGAGTAAAGAACAGGAATTACCTGGAGGTTGGTTGGTTGCTGTAGTTATCCTTGCACACCCCACACTGTTGCCAGCCAGCTGCCGCCTCCCCAGCCCTGCCCTGTCCGAGGCCACGCTTGTAACGATGTGCTGGCTTCAGCAGCAAAGCTAATTTATTTCCATCTGTCCTCTCACTTCCCTGAGCGCTTCATGCCTTCGGTGTGCTGGCAGCACTTTATGGGGCTGTGCTCTGAGCCAGAGAGAACTGATACGTGTATTTTTGAACAGAAACATCTTCATATTTCACATCCATTCCCTAAATACTGAGAGGCGTGGGGACAGGAGTATGCATGGCTGATGCTGGTTGTGGAGGGAGAGCGTGTCTCACCCAGCTTTGGTGTGAAACACTGTCCTCAGACCCCCAGAAAGCAGGAGTTATTCAGTATTCCTTGGGGAAGCATGTATCAGCATGTTAAATGCCAGTGTCACAGGGAAGTCCCAGCACCAAAGACACCTCGGCATCACTTGTGTTCAGCTCCCACCACGAGGGTGTTGGGAACGGTGGGTCTGTCCATCGCCTCTCTGTGAGACGCCGTGTGCTGTTTTGGAGCCTGGGCCCAGAGGAATGGTCTTCTCCTGACACTGAGTTTTACAGACCTTTGAACTCTATTGATGTCATTGGCTCTGACAAAACATCTGGTAGCCAGGGCTTCCCCTCCAACCTCAGCTGCCCCCTGGCCCATCCCTGTCTTTGCCCCATCTACCCAGCTCCTCCTGGTACCACCTTCCCTCCTCTGCTGCTCTCAAGATCTGTTTCATGCAGATAGAGTCTTGAGACACAGAACTGTAAAACCAGCTCTCCTGTTCACTTAGCAGAGGCCTGAGGAGCACCAGGAGCGTGAGATGCTCTGATGACAATAAAACAAGTGGCTGCTCCTTCTCTCTCTAGAAAGCAGATGGGAACTGTAAGGAAGTTTCCCCTAAGGTGATGATGGTTGTCCCTTCATGCTGCTGCCGGCTCATCCTGACTGTCATGGAACAGCAGTGGGAGAACCAGTGGCCTGGTCCAGCAGGATCCATAAACTGACACAGATTTAGCCCAGACTGGGCCATACAGGGGCTTAGCCTCTGATGTGTGGTGTGACCTGCTCCCCACCAGCCTCTGTTCGGATGGCACCTGGCTCCAGCCCTGGCTTGATGTCCCCAGTGACTAGGTGGCCTGTCCTGGGCTGGTGCCAAGGCTGGGTGCTGGAAGTACAGGACAGAAGGACACGTTTTGCTCAGTCCTTGCACGCCCTTAGGTGGCACTGGGCTCCAAGCAGTGAGACCTGCCTTACAGGAGTTCCTCCACTCCTGCTTCACCTTGTGATGTGGTTTTCCAGGGCTCAGTGTCACCAAGGTGCATCCATAATGTCCCCAGATGCTCCTCTGGTCTGTCCGCTTGGAGCTAGCTGTTTGCTCACACAGGCCAAGCTACAGCAAACCAAGGACACGTCATCTGGGAGGAGGGCAGGCAGCTGCTCCTTGTCCACTTCCACCTCACACCAGTATGAGTTCAACCCCACTCTTGGTATCCCCATGCTGTGGTTGTGCCCACAACACGCCTGGTCGATCGGAGTGCACAGCCCACAGATGTTGCACCACTTGCAGCAGCCAGATACTGTGTCGCCAGCGGCCACAGAGTCACTGGTGTGGGTCTGGGAAGGGTGAGGGCTGGCATAAGAGGCAGTGGGGATGAGAGCAGGGGAGCAAGGCTGGGTCAGTGTTGGGGTCAGACAGTGTCTGCTGACAGGCATGAAGAACTGGAGTCACAGAGGGTGGGGGATGCAGTTGGTGAAGGCAGAGGAGCAGGAAGAGCAGCAAAGCTTCTGAGTCAGGAGGGGACACCCACTGAGTTGCCCTGAGGACTGACCAGTGCTTTTGGACTCCTGCGCCTCCCCAACCACCTGGCTAATTAAACCAAAGAAGGGGCAAACCAAAAAAAAAAAAAAAAAAAAAAACAACCCAAAAAAACCCACCCCAAAAAAAAAAAAAACAGACAAACGAACACACTATTCAGCCTCGCTGCAATGCTGTGCAGAGGAACGGGGCTGTTTCCTGGTGCTGAGCCCCGGTGGGTCTTGCCTGGGACCATCAGCCCCAACCTAGCAAACAACCGTGTCACTGGGGCGTGGTGGTTGACACAGGGGGGCGATGCCACATCCAACGCGTGCCACTGAGCTCGCCTGCAAGTGGCTTTTCCAGCATTTTGCAGCTGCCTTGGGGAAGAGCCAGCCACCGGCGTTTCCCAGCTCTGCTCCTCCCAGGTAAGGCAAGCTCCCGGGTGCGTTTGGGGACACAGGAGAGGCATGTTGCTGAACTGTGTCACTCAGGCTGCTGCCCTGATGGGGGTGTGGGGGCTGCCTTCATGGCTGGGGGCTGTGGGATTGCCTGGCAGCCAGGACCAGCCGCATCCCTTCCCAGGACTTGCTCCTCAGGTAAAGGAATCACCTGCTGTGCCCAGGGCCACCAAGTCCTGCAACAAAACTTCCTGGGGCATTTGCCCTCACACCCCAGTAGTGTGCAGACCTGGCACACCAGCCTGTGCCTGGGGTGATGTGGCACACACAAAACTCCTTCTGGGAGCATCCCCCCCAGTGAAATCCTGCTGGACCCTCCACCAGCCAACACGGCTTGAGGGGATAGACCCTGATGCCCATCCCTTGCCCAGTGTGAGCCATGGAGTCCCTAGTGCTCCCTGGCATGGGGAGAGAGGCTCCTCAAGCCTGGAGCCAACAGACTTTTACACGCTGGAATGTGCTCTGGCAAAGATAAAAATCTCACCTCGGTTTATTTTTGTTGCTGTGGCAGGTGAGTTGGATATCGCTGCCAGCTGGGCCTTTCCCAAACCCAACTGCAGCTCCTCAGCTGAAAACGTGCATCAAGGGAGTGCCCTCACTGACTGCCTGAAGGTTTGGCCCTGCAGACACGCTGGGGGAGTGGCACAGCTCCCCTATGCTGGTGCTGCGGACCCCGGTGGGTGCCCCAGCCCTGCACCTCTCCAAATTCCCAGGGCCAGTGGAGAAGGAGCCTCCACACAGCCCAGCCTGTGTGCCAAACCAGCATCACCCTGACAGAGGTCCAGTAATGGCCCTGGCTGTCACCCTGCTCCTTGTGTCCCAGCTCCTGCTGGGACAGGAGCAGCTCTTGGAGAGCCATCTGAAACTGGGGATGGCTACACTGGAGAGAGATAAAGTTGGTGCCATCATGTCCATATGGCATCTCCAGAGCAGAGACCAGCCTGGGACAGCTCGACTGGGCTTCATGCACAAGAAGGACAAGGGTCTAATATGACCTGACCTACCAAAAGGGCATGAGGGCTCCTAAAGGAGGCAGCTGGGAAGGGATGGTCCCAGGGACCCCTGTCTCCACCTGCATCTTGTCATGGGCAGCACCTGGGGACTGTGTGACCTCCTGGGCACAGTGGTGGCTTTAGCATCCCGATGTGGTGGATGGCTTTTGGTCAGGAGCTGGGAGCTGCTTTGCTGGGGGGACCCCTGGGGTTGTGGTTCAAGCAGTGTCCTGCCTTGCCCAGGGCTCGTGGGAACAGAAGGCACCATATGAGGGCAAGGCTGTGAGGAGAGCAGCCACCGGTCCATGGGGGTGGCTGAGAGGAGGGTGGTGTGGGACAACAAGAAAAGGACGTGGCTGGGAGGTATTGTTTATCCAGCACCAACAAGCTGGTGCTGGGAGATGTGGGGCTACTGGGCTGAGTGGCACAGTTGGTGCCATGGCTTGATGGCTGAGCCCTGGAACCTGGAGGTGGGACGTGTCTCCAGAGCTGTCCTGTCATGTGGAGATAGCTGGAACTGCCCCCAAAATAAAGCCAAGTCTTGCAAGCCATAACTGGGAGCAGCTGCTGACCCACCCACAAGTCCATGTGGAAGGATCAGGGGAGCAGGGAACGACGATGGGCTGTTGGTCAGCCTGTTCCTGCCTCAAATTCTCATACTGAGACTTAAAATCTGCTAAACTGGGTAAGATGCCTCCAAATACCTCTTGAGGCAGATGCCAGCCACGGTCCCATTTCAGCTGTTGGGGCTGGCTTTTGCTGTTTTCATGATTGGCAGCTGTCACTCATTTTAGAGTTTTTTTTGTGAGGTGTGGGTTGAAATCCAAGTCCCTTCTTGCCATGTGCCCAGATTGTGTGCCAGGGACTTAAGCCAATCAACACCTCCCCAGCCACCAGGGAGAAACAGCCTAATTTTAGTTGGGCTTTAAGGCTAAGCATGACCATCTTAAATATCTGCACATCACCTGCTGTAAGCCTGTCCCTGTGAGGGGGCTGGATGCAGAGAAAGGCAGATTTGTCCTCGGTTGCCCCACAACTCTGCGCAGAGCCTGGGTTTGTCCGTCTCACAAAGGTGGTCACCCCATGGTACCCACCCAGCAGTGCTGCAGGCACAGGGCGCGATGGGCTGCTGTCTCTCAGGACTCCTGGCTGGAGAGAAGAAGATATTAGTGCTGAGCAGGGACTGAAAATGCTAAGTATTTCTCCTGGCTGGGCTCCATAGATGGTGCCAAGCCCATACAGCAGGTCTGTGGTGTGTGCTTGGCACCTGGGACACCTGGCAGCACGTGCCTGGGGCTTTCTCATCTCTTTGACCCCCAAAGGTGCAGGTTTGCGGGTGGGACAAAACCTTTGCCAAAGCAGCTCCATCACCTGCTCTCTATGATTGAAGCTCTTCAGACTTTTGTGATGCTCTTTGCAGAGGGTTCATAATCCTGGCAGCAAGCCTGGCTGATTTATTTTTTAACCTTTCATTTTCATGCATGCCAGCAAAAGACAGCTTAAGCAAAAGCAACTACTGCTCAAAAAGAAGCTCTTCACTGATGAGCCCCCCTCTTCCAGCTGCCTCTGGCCACTCTCACAGTCCCTTCTCCCACATTGTCCATCCCAGATGTTGTCTGTAGATCAGACACATCCCAGTCCATGGATGCTTACCACCAAACAGAGCAGAAGGTAGCTTCACCCCTTGGTGCTCAGCAGTTGGTTAGATACCTCCCTTCCCATCTCCAAAGTGCCTCCCCTTCACCAGCTGGTGTCTTCAGCTGCATCTTTTCTGCTCAAGGACAGGGCCTGTGGCCAAGACGTGTGTGGAAGGAAACCAGGGATTGTGGAGCATCTTTCAAAGGGTTGTAGATTCAAGAGCAAGGCACCAAGATCAGAAAGGATCATTTTGGTTTATTATTTGTGGAAGATGTAGAGAAAACACATAGGTGTCAGGATTGGGAATTACATGACATCCTGGATAGTGGTTGACTTTAGTGACCCCAGAATTTGTCTCACATTAGCTGTATTGGGTTTTATGGCCTTTCTTGGGGTGGAGCTGAGACACACTGACCATTGGGAAGCTGCTGGCAGGTCTCCAGCCACACCAGGGGCCAAGGCCCAAGGCTGCCTATGCCTTGTTTTTTCTTGTGTCTTTGATAACTTTCATATGCTGAAAGTATTCACAGCCAAAACACTAACTCCACAGCTGGCTCTCACCCAGGTATGTCTTTTAGGAAATGGCCTGGTTCATGTAAGTGAAAGTTAGATCTTTATCGCTAAATTGGCAGAAACATGTTTCAAATCACCACTGCCTGAGAGCCTCCTCTGTGCTGGCTCTAACACTTGGGTCACTCCACAGACTTACAAAGCACTTTGTGGTGCAGGACCACTAAACCCCTCTGCAACTGGGGTCCCTGCTCCTTGCGGCTGCCCCCCAGTACATCAACCATGCTGGGGGATTTGGGGCAGAGCTCTCTTCAGCCTGGGCAGCGGATGAGACTGAACACAGGGTTGAGCTGGAAGCTGGCTGTTGCAGGCTGCTCTGGTGCAGCTCAGCAGCATCTCAGCACCCCTGAATGGGGCTTTACAAACAGCATATTTGTGCCTTGAAGGGAGAAGTCTCCACAGTTCCTTGTCTGCCCCCAGAGCCATCCAGACCACCAGCCTGACCTCTTCAACCACGTCTATTACTGGTGTGGTCCTTGTGCCACCCAGTGCTCTCAGCCCCTTGCTGCTTTTCTTGCTTTTTTATTTAGCACTCCCAAACAGCCATGGGAACACTAACCCTGCCTGGCTTACCAAAGCTAGCGCATCCCTGTGTCCAGGGAGAGCCTGGCTGGCAGTTTGGGGTGACAAAAGCAACATTTGCATCAGAGCAGATCCCCTGGTGACCTGCTCCACCAGCAATACATGGGGTTCATGTGGCAAGTGCCAACACTAAATCATGGTCTGGGATGTGGTAACAGTGTGGTCTGGTTATCTCACACACAAACTAGTTCTCTTCACCAAGATAAGAGGCTTGGCTGCCTGTGCCAGGTCAGTCCTGCTGGGGAAATGAAAGAGGCCTGGCAGCCCTGCCAAGAACAGCCGCTCGCTCTGCCCATAGGGAGAGAGGCTGAGCATCACCCCTGCCTGGAGCTGCCTTCACATGTGCCCCCCTTGGAGCTTTGGACCTGCCTGTAGTCCAGTTTTCCAGCTCTTCCTGAATCTTCATAATTCAGATTTGTTTTGTCTTGGGTTTTTGTAAGCTTCTGTGTCAGAGATGCAATGGCAAACTGCAGCTCTCTTAGCTCAGCTTCTAACTGCTGGGAACATTGGGACAAGCAGTCAAAAAGTTATTGGAGAGCACCTAGAAAATGAAAAGTAGTGTTTCATCTAGATTTGTCAAGAAACCATGCTACCCCAATCTGGCACCCTTCTCTTTTGGGTGACAGACACTCTGGAGATGAGAGAGGACAAGCATGACGTATGCTTAGGAAGGGTCATGTTCAGAGTGACTGGGCCAGCTGCTGGGTAGGTGAGATCCAGAGGTGGCTTTGGGGTGTCCCTGGATAATGGTCAATGTGTGCAAGAGCAAATGTCACCCTATGAGCACACAGGTGCCCTGAGCTGCTGCAGCCTCCAGTTTCAGGGTTGATATTCTCAGAATTTAATCTATAATTTTTACAGAATAATTTAGAGAGATGGCAAGGCTGTGGTTGAAATTTCAGGTCCATTTTGAGTCACCACTCTTGGAAAGATTTGATGAGAAGTGTGGAGCAAGTGCTGAAATCCCAGAGGGGAGCAGCCAGGGTGATAGGGGCAGGAGGAGGAGGGAAGGCTGAAGAAAGGGAGGTGACGGCAAAGGTGACATCCCTGGAGCAGCTTTTCAGAAGCTTTGCTGAGACTTTGAGGAGAGAGAGGTGTTACAGAGTGGTACAGCCCAGTGACATGACATGACCTAGCACGGAATGAGGTGATACGGGGCATCCAGCTGTTCACAGCTCACCCACC